TGCGTAGCACATCAGGGTGCATCCACACATTATTACAGGTCAAAGGGCTTTAAAGCAGTGCAATCATTTTGAAATTTTTATCATTTACTTATTATGCTTCATTAAGTACTTATACAAAATTTTATTAAAATAAAACCATTTAAACTGGGTGTTCGGATTTATATGTCACTTAGTATATATGGAAGGATCGGTGTTCGGACCGTTGTTATTTATTCTTTTCATAAATGTCCTTCCAAATTTCATTTCAAATGGTAAAGTCACAATGTTTGCCGATGATACTACAATCACGGTTTCTGACAGTTCTGCTGAAGAACTTTATAAAAATATATTGATCGTTTTTGAAGAGATGGACGTTTGGTGCGAAAGGAATAAGTGGATATTAAATAAAAATAAAATTACTGTAAACAACTTTCACATTAAGTTAATTATTGCTTCAGTCACTGCAACAGCTTTAAGTAATCAACTTGGATTTCAGTTGGTAGACATTGTTAAGCTCTTTGGTAGCTGATTTGATGCAGACATGACTTTTGAATCTCAGATAAACGATACCTGCTGCAATTTAAGCAGAAGCTTCTTTGCATTATTTCCCATGTTATTTAATATTCTAGTCGTCGCTTCACAAAAAGGTATCATCAGACTATTATTCAATCTCACTTTCAGAGAAATTTGCAGGCATGCCTTTATTGACAACAAACTGCTCACTGTACATTGTATTTTTATACATAAACGTATAAATTATGTCAAACGTATCAGTAACAAGTTCGAGATGCAAAATGAACAGCATTATTATAATACAAGAATCACAAAATTAAAATCAAATCGTTTTAGGAATCTAACTTACACTAGGTCACCGCATTATAATTTTACCTAGACATTTGAAGGATACTGATATCTACTGTTGTTTTAAAATAATGGTTTTCAATTATTTATCTGATAAATGTTTTTATTCTACTAACATTTTTTAAAATGTGGATGTTAATACCGTTAAGGTGGATCTTTTTGAATATAGTTTTTTTACATAATTTTTAATTTTGTCAATTATTCCAATGTGTTATAATATACAGGGTGTTTCACAACTTGTATAGTTTCAATGTTAAATTCATTTTCAAGTTCGTAAACATTCAAGGCCACAGCTCGCACTGTGATCAAAAATTAGCGCGAACTTTTAGTAAACTTAAAATTACACTCTAACAAAACAGAATCAAAATTTGTTTAGTTCAAATTAATCCGTGTACCAAGTCAAAAAGCCTAGATGTTTCCCGTTTTTTAGACTAAACACTTCTGCTTTTCTTTGCTCTTCTCATTTTCCCTTTCTCTTTTTCCTTCACATTGTCTGCTTTCTGAGCAACCAGAACTAACAGATTGGAATAACGTACATTAGACAGTGTCTAATGGGCAACGGTCCTACGGCCGCCCAGACAAACAAATGACGAATAGTATTGCATATTTTATTAATGTATCTTCGGATGACATAATTTTGTTTTCTTCCATGCCATTTGAACTATGTGCGTGTATTTTGGCTGAATAAAATAGTACTACTACTACGTACCAGATGTTACGATACACATACACTGAAGATAGGATATTGCGCATGTGGGCGGAGCTTCGTGACGTCACCCGGAGAGTTGTCGGCTCGTGGTTACCAGCGGCAGGATTGTCGTAACATTACTGCAGTTCACGTGTATCGTGGTTAATAATGGGTGATTTTTTTGCTAGTACCTTTTTGGCAACACTGTTTTCGACAGATGACGCGTAAATCATGTCTTGTGTCATTGTCAAACTTGTTTAGTTTGGTCTATAATTTAACCATGAATCGACATACGAACGAACAACGCTTGCAAATTATTGAATTTTACTATCAAAATTCATGCTCGGTTAAGAGAGTGCATCGAGCACTGCTTCCAATTTATGGGCAATTTGGTCGGCCTACTGAGGGAGCTATTCGGAAGCTTGTGACTAAATTTCGAACCCAGTTTACATTATTGGACATTAAACCATCAAGACGCAGACGTAGAGTGAGGACTGAAGAAAATATTGCGGCTGTATCCGCCAGTGTTAGTGATGACCTTGAAATGTCGATTCGCCGCCGTTCGCAGCAATTGGGCCTCTGTTACTCCACTACGTAGAAAATTATCGACCGTTCTATCGACTCAAATAAAGATTTAATCGTTTTTTCAATTTTTTTGTGTTTTTTTTTTTGAAAATCTAATCCTATACCTCTTAAAAAATCACCCGTTACTATATAGTGCGATTTGAGAAGCTAAGTAAGGCGTTTGCTACATTCAATGGGGTCGGAATAGTGACAGACAAGCAAAATTTTATAGGCGAACTTCCGTTAAAGAGAAGCAACATTGCTTGCCCTGAAAAGGCTAAGAAACTATTTTTCAGGTCAAGGATGTTTTTCCGGATCAAAGAACTGAATAAAAGTTTGAAAGACCAGAAAGGAAAGGAAATGGATAAAAATTGTGGCTTAGACTAAGTCATTTCCATTTATTGTTGCACCGCCAGCTTACTGCAAAAAGGTGATAACTACATTTTTCTACTTTTTGAGTTGCGTACATTTTCACACTTGCGTATAGTTAGTACTTAGGATGTTCTGTGAAATAAGGATGAGTAAATGTAGTGCAGTATTAACGTCATCAGCATGTTAATCCTGTTTCTAATACTAAAATATAGGTAATGTAGAAAAATCTTGTTTTTACAGTAAAGTAACGATACACACTCTATTGTGGTACAAGAAAGCCGTTTAAGCTATAGCCTGTGAGATAGGAATTACAAGGTTGCAATCTTTTATTAAAATCCGCCATTTTATTATGTACGAAATTTTAATGGATCTAAGACGAATCCAACGACACCTCATATGTGAAAATCCGTCCGGCCCAGCCCAAATGATAACACTGGTCAACAAAATTTTAACTTTGTCGTGCCACACGGACTTTTTTGATATTTTTTACTTTAATTGGTGATTGTAAGAAAAAATAAACAGTTAGAAAAAATTTGCTAGACAAGGATTTTATTCTATTGAGTAATCTAAAATATTAAGAAAAAACACAGATCTCGTAAATCAAAAGTTATTTTTTTTTATAAATGACTTAATAATCTAAGATTTTCTTAAATATTTAGCTTCTGGTTGGTCCCTTTTAATTGTCCAGCAGTAATCTGCTAACATATTTGGGCTCCATTTGCCCTGGTACTGCTTTTCCATATTAGAAATGTCCTGATGGAACCTCTCACCGTGCTCGTCGCTGACAGCCCCTAAATTGTCAGGAAAAAAATCCAGGTGCGAGTCTAAAAAATGGATCTTAAGTGACATGTTGCAACCCAATGCTTGATATGACAATAGTAGCTCGCTAACCAACTCTCTGTAGCTGTCACTCTTGTGGTTACCCAAAAAATTTGAAACAACATTTTTAAAAGCCTTCCATGTAGATGTTTCTAAATCGCTTAATTTTTCTTCAAATCTTGAATCTTTTATTAACTCCCTAATTTGAGGGCCAACAAAAATACCCTCTTTTATCTTTGCATCACTTATTTTAGGGAATTTTTCTTTTAGATATAAAAATCCACTCCCATTGCGATCCATTGCCTTCACAAAATTTTTTTATTAATCCTAATTTGATATGCAATGGTGGTAGAAGCACATTATTTGGCTGTACATTGGGTAAATACTTTACGTTTTTTTGCCCAGGAACTATCGATGCACGCGTAGGCCATGTTTTTTTTTATATAGTGATTAGTTCTGTCTCGGCTATCCCATTCACATAAAAAGCAGCAAAACTTTGTATAACCCAGCTGAAGTCCAAGTAATAGTGCAATAACTTTAAGATCACCGCAGATTTTCAGGGAATATGTACTGTAATTTATTTTTTCAAGTAAAAGTTTCATATTTTCATAGGTTTCTTTCATATTTGCAGCATGGGCCAGAGGTACAAACGGAAGCTTATTTCCATTATGCAATAACACTGCTTTTAGACTTGCTTTCGGAGAATCAATGAATAAACGCCACTGAGAGAGATCAAAATCTATGTCCAACATTTTCATAATCTCATTTATGTTATTGCAAAACACCAAACCTCCATCCTGAGAAAAATACGTTCTGAAGTGTTGATCACGGTTTCGAAAATAGCTAACTTTTGTATTATAATGTAGCAAATTCCATTCTTTTAGACGTGATCCTAATAGTTCTGACTGCTTTTTTGACAAATTTAAATCCCGAACCAAATCATTTAGGTCTCCTTGAGTTATCAAATGGGGCTCGCTTACAATTCCTTTTAACTCAAAGTCATCGTCCTCGTCAACACATTCACCTGAAGTGGACGGTTGTGAATTGTTCTCAACAGACGTAGTTGCAACTGGTATTAGTTCTGGCAATTTTTTACAATGAGAGACTGGTCTTATAGCCGAAGATAAGTTAGGGTAAATAACTGTGGTTTTTGTCTTGTAATTTATACCTTTTATGCCTGTGAGACAAAAATAGCAATCTGAAACGTGATCTCGCTGTTCAGTCCATATCATGGGTCAGTTAAATTTTTCACACACGTTATGCAACAGACATGAGGGGCCCAGGATTTGTCTTGAAGGGCGACAGAAAAACCAAAACATTGGTGATAATACTCCAACACAAGATTCGTAAAATTTCGTCGTTGTTTTTTGAATGTTAGTTCTCCGCAGACATAACAAAAAGAGTTAGGATCATTATTACACTTCCTCGACATATTCACAGGGTTAATAGATCACAAAAAAGTGTTCAAATTCAACAACAAATATTTTTATAAGGATTTACTTGTAAGCGTTTCTGTTAATTTACTGCCGCAGTACTAGTTATGAGTATTACCTTATCACAACAAATATGAGGCTAATAGACATATGACAGCTGTCATGTAATAATGAGGGTAGACTGATAAAACAAAATTAGTTGTCGAAGTTCTTGTGGCAAAACCAGTGTAATCACTCTCCGCGTGACGTCATGCGCGCCGGCGGACGAAAATCGAACATGTTACTTACATGACATCGTTCGACCTATCCCATCCGACGATTCTGCTGACCTCGTACCGCCCGTGCGTCAGTGGTACCGCCCTTTTTCTAGCAACGTCCACTGCGACAGCGTGCCTGAAGGTACCCGCCGTCGGCCCGTCCCGCACCGGCGCCACTGACACGTACCATCCGCTGCCGTCTGGGGCGAATAGCGGTGCGTCTCCGACATCTACCCAACCTGCGGACTCGGCAACTGTGATACGCTGAGTCTAGAAAGCAAAAGGAGAGTTAAGGTTACAAATTGCCAGCTTTCTTTTGGTTGCTGCTTAGGTCTCACTTACTGGTTTGGATCAAAAGCTGAATTACTCAAAAATTGTCTTTTGGACCGAACGAAGTTTGGAGACAATTTTAGATTTCTCCGAAAGTACTAAACGATGACCTACCAAATCGTACTGCAAAAGCATTAGGATTTTCACTGCCCCAATACCTGCAGTTATGCTTATTAACAAACCCATTTAGATAAAATGTGCTGTAGCAGATATTCTTTACATGAATCGTATTATCATAAATCGCTGCAGTAATTTTTTCTCAACGCCTATCAAAATCATATTCGGTTAACCTTGCAATATTTTGATTTTGAATGGATGAAATGTATAGAGTCTATACTACAACTATTTAAAACTGTAATGACTCATACGCGTGATCAAAAGCTCGATCCCGGCTTCCTTCCAGTACAGCCGTATAGCGTACGACATATGTCGTTTCTGTGGCTTTGCGGTGGTCAACAGCACAGACAGAGATGGAAATAATGGCTGATTGTTCTCCGCCGGTAGAACCAATGAAATCAAAGACGCGCCTCGACCGGCAGACTCATAGGCGTCGGCAACGCATTGGAACGTGTTTCGTTGAGCGATCGCATATTGTGTGTTTTTATAAGAATTGTTGTGTGATTGTTATTGTTGTGGTTTCTGTGGTTACTGTTTTGGTTATACTTAACCATGGAGAGTACAAATGGCACGAGTGGAAGTACTGAAAGCCAGGGAACAAGTAGACGGCTTCGTAAAGCACTGAAGAGGGACGCGAAAGAAATCGTAATTTGAAGGGACGAAAGGCCGTTAAATTGGATGACGATAGCAAAATGGCGTTACGGCGAACCGTACATCCATTCTTCTTTAGGAATGAGATACCAACCCTCAAGGCTGTACATGCAGCGATCAAGGAAAATGAAATTATACCCCAAATGAGCGTCGAGGTAATGAGGAAATCCCTGCACGAAATTAATTTTCGTTACGAAACGCGTAATCGGAAGTCAGTATTGATAGAGAGACCTGAAATAGTCGCCTGGGGCCGAAAATACCTACGCGAAATGATTGAATATAGGCGACAAAGTAGAAAAATCTATTATTTGGACGAGGCATGGGTAAATGCAGGTCACACAGTTAAAAAAACCTGGATAGACAAAAACGTAGTGAGTAACCGACAAGCAAGCATTGAAGGTTTGTCAACAGGTCTTCGTGGACCGTCAGGGAAAGGTCAAAGATTGATCGTAACTCATATTGGTAGCGATAGTGGGTTTTTAGAAGAGTGTGACTTGATTTTCGTCTCTAAGAAAAGAAGGTGATTTCCATGACGAATGCCAGCTGCTTCGAGAGCTGGTTTCAAGGGGTGCTTCAGCGAGTTGAGCCCAACTCTGTGATCGTCATGGATAATGCTTCCTACCATAGGCGTCGAGCCGAACGTGTACCGACTATGGGATCTCGAAAAAGTGACAAGCAGCAATGGTTGCGCGAAAAAGGAATCCTGTTTGACGATTCATGTGTGAAAGCGGAATTGTATGAAAAAATTAAACAGCACAAACCTGCGAACGTTAGTTACGTGACTGATGAGATGGCCCGTCAATGTGGTGTCACTGTGCTGCGGTTACCGCCCTACCACTGTGAACTGAACTGGGCTCAAGTGAAGGGTTATATTGCGCGCCATAACACAACCTTCAAATTACCAGACGTTAAGGTTTTACTTGAGACTTCCATACAGCTAGTAACGCCCGAAGCTTGGCAGAATGCTATCCGTCATGTTGTGAAGGAAGAAACAAAAATGTGGCAGCTTGACCACCACATCGACACCATCATAGAGCTAGTTATAGTCAATTTCAACGAGGAAAGCGATAGCGACAGTTTATTACTGTCAGATGTAAGTGGAAGCGACGATGAATAAAGGTAATTCCCAAATGTTTGACTTACAATATGTTTCAAACCACTCTTTATTAAGCATGTGACAAATCTAGTTCACCCATGTTAAACATTCATACCCCGCCTATGAACAGCCGACTACTGGTAGTTAAGTGATGTTCACGTGAACATCGATGAGTCATTACAGTTTTAGATAGTTATAGTATAGTAACTGTGTGTACAGAGCCTAATGAAATACCAGTCGCAGCAACAATTTTGCGTAATGGAGTATTCGGATTTATTCCAAAATAACCCAAAACTTCAGCTTAGGCTTAGCCAAAACTCTCCGATGATCACCTTCTTTATTTGCAACAGATCCAGTTTGAGTAAATTTAGTAACAAGATCCAAAAGATACCTATGCAAAATTAGAACCATTTCCACTCTTTCGGCTAGTGTGTAAGCCATTTTGGAAGTAAGATCTGAATCGATAAATTAATTTTCACTATCCCAAGATTGTCACGAAGGTAACTGGCAGCAAATTAAATTCTTTATTTCCCTCAGTAACAAATAACTAAACAGGTATAACAATAAATACAGTTCGCCCAGGATATCTGGATTGACGAAAAAAAATCGGGTTGTGATTTGCTTGTTGCCGCGTCTAATCTTCCGAATGGCTGTTCGTATGTTGGTAGTATCCGTTTTGAATTATAAACGAATTGTAAATGTGGCAAGCCCTAACGGGCAACATTTTCAACACTTATTTAAATAAAAAGTTATATTTTCGTGTTTTTTCCTGAACAAATGAAGATTATTCTAATTATCTCGAAAACGAATCGTCAGAGTTTAAAAAATCAAACGTCAAAGTGAAGGACTTTGAAATACCTTTCAAACAGGCTATTACTTGATACCCCTTGTTATTTAAAAGTGTTAAGGAAATGATCCTGGGGGGCCTATGGTGAAAGAGTGTGAAGTAGTTTTTGGTTAAAAAGTTGTCTCCCTTGACAAATCTTTGGACGTGTCTCGGCGTGTTTTCTTTTAATCAGTCATTTTCGATAAATCCGTGGTGGGAGGTTTCCAAATGAAGACCCGGTATGTGTATGTATCTGTGAACCATGTATATAGGGTTGGGGTTTTCCTTTTCAGAAACAACTACCCTTGAAATAACAAAGGTGATGTGTAGTGAAACGAGGGCGACCAAGTACTCACTCTCCAGTTGACGAGAAGGGCTAAGTACGTCTCTGCCGGAAATCATACCGCTCCAACAGAAAATGAAATCAGCTGACGCGCTACCGAGCAGACGCAGGCAAACAAGGAAGGCAAAATGTTGCGTAAAAAGTCTAGGTATTGCATCCCGTCCAATCGATTTGGGAGAATAAATCATCCAATGAGCATACCGTTCACCATGCCAGCCCAAACATTCACCGAAAATGTTTGTTGAAAATGTGCCCGACGGACAGCGTGCGAATTTTCCACCGACCAATCATGAGTGTTGCGAAAGTTATTCACCCCATTAAGCGTGAACGTAGATTCGTCTGTCGCCAATATGCACTTCAAAAAGTCCGGATTATTGTCATGTTGATGCAACAACCACTCACAAAACCGCACTCTTGCTGGAAAATCGTCAGGTTGAAGGGCTTGTACACGTTGGACGTGAAACGGATACAGCCCCTCTTCACGCAGCGTTTGCCACACTCTAGTTTTTGATACTTGCACTTCTCCAGCCACGTCTCTAGTGCTTGTTGAGGGATTCTCGTCTACGCGATTACCTCTAGACGCGTGACCGTAACCGTCGGTTGAACGTTGCATACTGACCTGACACACTGACCCCGACCCAGTTCTGTCGTCGGGTTGAGCTAGTGCACTAGTACCAGTCGGGGATGTCGCGGCTACAGGACGGTATTCAGATATTTTTGATGTTGCAGAGCCCTTAAGACATTGGTGTATATGGTACTAAGAAAAATTGCTTATGTTTTCAAGATCTACACGTCGTGTAAAGGAAAACCCCAACTTTGCGGATACCCTGTATGTATAGTTACATGAATATGTCTCCGAGTTTTAAGTGATTCATTCCCTTGCACAAGAAGTAATTATTCTGTGGATATTTGCAGTGTATTTATGTTTGTACGGTACGGGAATAAACATTATTTATTATTATATGAATCTCAGCGACTGGAGATAGCTAAGCCAAACCTCAGCCCGCAAATAATGGTATAGCAGGGTGTCACATGCTTCATCCACATCCTGCAATCATAACGAGCTACCCCATGTTGCGCTGCAGCCATTTAACAAGCATGATCGATACTGTAATTAGTTTGGAAGTGATCGTGCAATGAACTTTAACATTTGACGAAGCATCGTTTGGAGTATGGATCAATCTGCACAATGTATGTACTTGTAGAGAATACACCGAACTTTGCTATATGCACCCATTCTATGTATATGTCATACCATTTACAATATTCATATTTCGAGAAGAATGATTACGGTCAGATCGAACTAATAAGAACAAGAATGTCACTTTAAGTTCACACACATCAGGCGATACCTTGGAATCTTCGAAAAAAGCAAAAAAACACCGATGGCAATGGTCAAAATCAACTGCGCATAACTTACGAGGATCTAACATGACGCGCAATGTAGAAAAGGGTCAAAAATTCTTGTCCTCTTTGAGTGAGAAAATTTAGCAAAGAAATGGATGCAACTATTGGGCAACCTAGACCAGAGAAGAAAATTGTACCAATTAGTATATACCTCGATACCGCTCGATTGAGTATCATAAGCTGCGAAGTTTTTTTTATACCGAAGCAGCCACGCAGGCAGAAACCTAAATACAAGGGCCTCTCGGCTGATATGAGTAGCTTGAAAAATCTTTTCCTAAGGTTAGTAGAACTGGGAAAAGCCTCCTCAGGTAGATTGTTCAATATCATCGATACCTAGGGACAAAGGAGCGGTCGTATCGACCAGTTCTGCATCTATAAAGTTAGACACGGTTAAGATTGAAGGCTGTAATGCGTTTGCCGACTCCGCTTGAATGGCTTTCTCGTAAGAAGTACCATGCTTCTTACCCTGGTTGGTACGTCCATGTTGGTGTAGGGTGAAA